GTATCGGTATCAGTGCATCCCTAGTCTAAACGTTGACCCAGCTGGGACAGTTTCTTTTCTTTGTTGCCTTCTAAAAGCAGAGGAGCGATGTGGACGCTGCGCTGTGTTCTCATTTTGCATTCTGCAATGGCCACCAGGTGGCGATACCTTTGCTTACAGCGTGACTTCTGGTCCTGTAGAAGTCTACGGGGAGATCGGCCCTCCGCTGTAACACTTTCCTGGTTAGTTTATGGGCTCGGTCACTGATCTCGGGTCCTTTTAGTAAATTTGATAATTCAGAGTTTCAGAAAGGAGGATGGTGAATATCGAGGATACGCTCCTTGGGTAACGTCTTATCAATCGCGTCATGTCGCATCCACATGCTGTCAGAGCTCTGAGATAGCGCCCATCACCTGACCGGACGCAGATCTGAGGATGTCACAGCTGGTTCAGTTTAAATCCAAGGATGTAAAAACAGATAAAGCTGTTGTGACTGAAGGCTGTAATTACTCCTCCGCCTGCTCGTACTCGACAGCCTAATGATCCCTTCCATAACTTCTCAGTCGCTGATAAATTACATGATTGCTACTGTGCTCTTTGTTCACCGACGCATGAATCCGAGCTCCTGACGGCGCTCTCTCCTCCTACACGAAGGCCCGCGAGCTACAAACCTCAGCAGCAAGAAAGTGTTGAGTCACCGTTATTAAACAGCAAGCTGATCAACCCACACAGAAGCTGCAGATCTGCTTTATAAATATTTCTCTCCTTTTTCTCGACCTTTGGAGAGACAAAATTATTCTGAGCTCTGTGACGCGCCGCTGTCATCATTTCAGCTTTTAACTTTGGTGCTGTTAGATAAGCTGTCAGAAAACGTCTGAATATTTCATGAATAACTCCGCCGCCCATCCATTTGGAGGAATCTCAACTTTTATTAAGAACAAGGAGCTCGGGATGAAGGAACGTCACAGCTCAGAGGCTCCGCCTACAAAGGAACATCTCAATAAATAATCCAAATAAGATGAAAAGTTTAGAAGTTGTGTGTTTTCCTTTTATTCTAAATTTATTTATTTATTGCTTGATAAAATTAATCAAATTGACTTTTGAATGAACAGATTTGGAGAGAAGGATTATTTATGCAAGCACGAGCTGCTGAAATTAAAATAGTAGATAAACAAATTTAAGGTTAAAGATTGATTTTAATTTACTTTATAAAATATGACATAAATGTGATCCATGTCAATATTGTTGTTATTTCACTGGCAATGAAACTTTTTTCACACTCTCACATTAATGTGTTAATTTTTATGAAAAGTAAGTAATAATCAGTAAAATGGTGAATAAAGTGGTTTCTATGTGTGGAGCCTCAGGACTCATCTCAGGCTTCGTTTCCTGTAATATCTCTGACGCCAGCAGTTCTTTCATTATAGTTTTAATATCATGTCTCCTCTGCTGCATCTCCCGACTCGTTCTCAATTTATTCTCAACGCTGCAATTTAATAAAACTGAACTTATGAGAGGAAAGAACCTGAAAGCATGCAAGGATATATGAAGGATTATTGCTTTTGTTACAATGGATTAATGAGCTAAATTATCCATTTAAATTAGTTTATTAATCTCCTCTTTTTATAACACATAAACATTGAAACTAAAAAGAAAAACATGATTTAAAAACTACAAAATCAAATTTAGTTTCTTAAAAGAAAATTCATCAAATAAACTAAAACTGCTTTGAGTTTGAACAAAGTGCCCAACGACTGCAATTCCTCTAAAGGCCACTTGAGGCTTCATCCAGAAGAATTGAGTATATCTGGACTGGCGTCAGGAACGCCGACTTCCATCAGTCTGGAAGAAGCAGCAGGTCGTGACCAATAAAGATGATGCTATCAGGAGTCGGGATGTCCAGAGTCGATCACGTGGTTTCAGACTGATCGGAATCTGACTCGTTATTTGCTAACATATCTGTAGTTATGCGGTGGCACTGATTTAGACCTCTTGACTCCACACAGAAACAGCAACGCCTGCGGCATGACATCACTTTGTTGCACAGACACCTGCCGGCAAATCAGAACACGGAAGCAGCGTGAAGCAGAAAGCGCGAGTATGTCTGCGGTCTGCAGGTATTATAAAGTTGATGACAACAACTAGAGGTGGGAATCACCATACATCCCACGATACGATATTATTGCAATTTTTAAAATATTTTGCGATATTCAGATTCTGTACATAAAGGTAAACTTTATCAATATTCATTTTCTCTAATATCAAAGTCTCACACTCAGTCTTTCTCTCATTTCAGTTTGATTGTTGACAAACTGAACGGTTTGTATTACAGTCTAGTCCAACTTAACTGAATCAACCATCTGGTACAATTATAGCTATTCTGAACTATGCAGTTTATGAAAACTATGCAGCCCCTTCAGCAACTGAAGAATTTGAAAGTAAATTAAAACAAAATATAATTTTACATTAAATAAAAAAGTTTTAAACTTAATTAAAATAAAACATGTCTTAAATTAAAATAAGTAAACTGTCATGTTTATTGCTGCCAAAAACAAGTTAAACACATTTGGACAGTGAAGGAATGTCAGGATTCTTGCTCAGAAAAAGGATCAACATGCTCTGAAGTCAGAGCACAAAAACCTTTTTGTAACAAAATATCGATTTCTGCTGTCCCTGTATCCATACATTATTAGCAAACAAAATATCACCATGCTACACAGTATCCATTTTCCCCCACCCCTAACAACAACACTGCCATAGCAAACTGTGAGACATGTAAACTTGAAAAGTGACCGACTTCAGTACTGGAAAGATCATGCTAACCAGTTTTCCTCTATGGCTGCAACCCAGTATCTCAGTGCCCCCTGCAGCTCTGTGGACAGTGAGAGACTTTTTAGTGCCGTTGCAAATGTCCTTGATGAAACAAAGTAGACATTTCCTTCTGTGAGACTTACTGTGATGACAGTAAGAGTTAGGAGTGCAGTTACTAAAAGCACTTTACTGGCTTTGCAAACACTCTGGCACTTTTATTGTTTTATTTGTTTACATGCATGCCGGATATTTTAAGTTGAGGTGCTAATTGTTGTTATATCAGACTTTTTTTATATTTACTGTTGCACTAAAATCTAGTGAATAATTTGTTATTTATTACTTGATTGTTCAAGCTACCTCACAAAAGTGCTTTGTTTGTTAACGGAGTTGTTGAATGTTAAAATAAGGTGAATTAAATAAAAAATGAGGAACATCCAGGATCTGTTTCTCTTCTTTATTCTTTTTATATGTATATATATATATATATATATATATACATATAAAATATATATAGAAGTATCAGATCGGGACTTGGTATCGGTGGATACTCAAAATCAAATGACAAATGAATCAAAAAACCTGATCGGGACATCCCTAATCAGGAGGCTGCTGCTACAAATACTCGCTTCACGCCCCAAATCAAAATGGAGGATGATGTAAAGCAACTTGTGGTATTGTGATGTTGCAAATACTCACACAAAGATATTTTAGTGCAACAGAAACCTGTAAAACCTGTAAAACCTCGTCTGTATCTGCAGAGTCGTACATTATATCAGAAGTACTGCTGTCAGCGTTAATCTCGTTAAAATGACGTTAACGCCATAACCGCGTGCAAACAGCAAATCTCCGTTAGTGTGGCTCGGCCAGTGCGTGGGGCTGCACGGCGTCAATGCGTTAACGTGGTTAGCTCGTTAACATGTTAGTGCCGTGCAGCCTCTCGCAAGTTGGTGCTTGCTCCACCCAACTCTCTACTTCTGCTTTCAGAACAACAAGGTGGAGACATCGGCCTCTACGCTTTAGGATTTCTGACTATTTGGAGGTATTTTCTTGGTTGAGGCGACGCTGCCACCACCAGGTCAAAGTTGAAATTACAACACAGAGCTTTCTAATTTCAGTGCCCGTGTCTCACTGTTACACTCGAGGTGTCTTTAATGTCTTCATTTACTGGTAATCACAGCAGACCTGCAGATTCAGAGGGTGGAGACCTTAAAGCTTTCTTTTCACTTTCACTCATTGTGGTAATTCTGTTCACTACACGGTTAGGGTAAGGAAAGGGTTGTGCTTTCAGGTAAACTATAGCTCCTCACAACAGTAAACCTACACATCCAAGAACATGGAGTCAAAACAGGGCCATCCGAATGTCTTCAGCAAAACTGCAATGATTAATATCGTTGGAGCAAGAGTGGCAAATCATTTTAATGCTGTATTCAGTTAAAATAATAAAATAAAAAACAAATCTTAGGTTGATGTTTTGATAACTGGAATCAGATAAACAAAGCATTGCTGCACCAAGCACTGAACCTCTAAAGCTCCTCCGGGTGGATGTCCCACAGGAGGGTGGAGCCATGTTGCACCAAAGGCCTGGCGCCTGGTGCCCAACCTCTCTTACTGGCCTGGATCCAGGGTGGGGTCTTGGTAACCTGGGTGAGTTGGCATGGTCCATTGTTTTCTCTTCACAGGGGTCTTTACAGTCGCACTCCAGCTCATCACCCAGGACTCTTGGAGGGGTTACATGGGCCCTCAAACTGCTCAATGTCCCCCAGAAAAGCTGGAGGTGGCTGCACCTGAAAACCAGATATGGATATAGATGAACTCTGAGCAGTGCCCGCTGTTACACAGTAATGCTGACATGACTTTGAGGGTTGCTTTATATAAATGCAGACATGATTAGGACCTGTAACGAAGGAACTCTGGCTCTTAATCAAAGTATGGATGCTGCAACCTTTGGATCATCTGGACGCTCCGTGCTGCCATCGATTGCATTCTTAAATCAAGCAATGCTTCACCATGCAAAGTAGATTATACAAGGACCTTGAATACAGTGGTTGTGTTTTTCTGCTTGCAAAGCTTTTCCTCCACGAGTCTGATCTGCCACATTCTGTTTTTATATGCAGCTGGCGGTTTAGCCAAATTAATCAGCCAATCAATAATCAGAATGATGACTTTCATAGCAGCAACATAACTGACGGCATCTCTGTAATTCTTTTCAGAACAAGCCCTGCCTTCAGATTTCCTCAACAGTTAGCTTCGGCAGTCCGATGACCACCAGCCCCAGCGCCACCCATCAGCCCGGTAATATGGAGGAACCCCAGCAGCCAGACCAGCCAATCACCACGCAGCAGGATGGAGAAGCTGCCCAAACTGCTGTGACTTCTCAACCAACCAGCTCTGACCAACAGGCCCCACCCTCAACGACAGATGGTCCCGAGGCCCAGCAGACAGAGGACGGGAAGGGAATGGACCACCTGACAGTAATCAGCGAAAACACAGAGACCAGTAAATACAGCCCTAAAAGTCCGCTATGATAAGTTTTCTTTTCCAGTAGCTTCACAATGCAGATACAGCCATGAGTTCAGCAGATCTTTATTTGGGTTTGTGACCAAAAGTGAAGCATTGAAGATACAATTGGAGGAAACAAGCTTCCTCATCAAAGATGTTGATTTAGTGGTTGGTCTGTGTTCCCAGAATAAGAATGAATGAAAACAGGTTTGACTTTATTTACATATATCACATACCAGTGTCACAAAAGTTGTTGGATAGTTGAAGATCCAGGATTTACTAGAGACATAATATAACGACAGTTAAAAACTGATCAATTTCATTTTGAAAATAAATTTGACTAAACGTTCTCCCTTGCTGTGTCCAAATTCATAGGAGGATCCGGCCCACATAGACCATCCTTCGGAGGATCCGGCCTTCGTGGTCTACGTGGGCCGGATCCTCCGAAGACCGAGAAGGCTGGAAATGTGAGCGGCTGTGAAATGTGACGGTCGAGCCTTCAGATTTGCGTCACCGCTGTCGCGGTGGAGTTTAATAAACTCGTCCGTCTGCTCCTTGCTATCTAAAATATAACAGGACACTGGAGTAAACTCTCGACCATCTCACACTTCTGTTTAATCAGTTTTCTGTTTGACGTTTATTCAGCTGTGTGAAAACTAGAACTTTAATCTCAGCCGAACCGATTTACACACGAACAAATAAAACACTGAAAAAAGTCAAACAATAACAGTTTTAAGTTATCTAAGTGACTTATATATCATGTTTAACCTGAGAAGCAAAAGACCACGGGGGATTTGAAAATCATGTGCGGGGAGTCCGGTGTTCTCGCCAGCTCTAGTGAGCCTCGAGCTCCCGGTCAGCTTCGAGCTGGTGGGTAACAGATGAAAACGTCGGAGCCCTTTTGCAAATATGTGGTGTCTTGATAAACAGAGCAGATATTTTAAGTTTACACAGCTACATTCTCACCTGAAAATATGTTAAAAGTTTATTTTGTGACCCAGAAAGAATAATAAGAGTAATATTAAAACTAAGCAGCTGCCGCCATTGTTGGAAACTGGAATTGCCTGGGCTGCGCTATGAATTCTGGGATAGGTTGGGCCACGAAGGATACACCCGACCCATTCTTCAAATTCAGGGAAAAGGAGGACGCGTCTGGAGGAGTCTTCGAATTTGGACAGCCTTCGTCGCATCACTGTGACGTAATCGGCCTTCAAATGCGGCCTCAGGAGGATGAAGCCTATGAATTTGGGTTCACAGTCCAAAGGCAAGGCAAGTTTATTTATATAGCACAATTCAACAACAAGGTGATTCAAAGAGCTTTACAGAGACATTAAAAAACAAAAACAAATAAAAAGCATGATTTAAAATTGGAAAAAAAAGAAAAAGAAAAGGAACAGTAGATAAAATCAGTAGTTAAAATGTACGTTTTGAAATTTAAGCTTAAAAGTAAAACAGTGCAGATTTGGTGTTTTATTCAAATGCAGCTGAGAACAGGTGCGTCTTCAACCTGGATTTAAATAAACTGAGTGTTTCAGCTGATCTGAGGCTTTCTGGGAGTTTGTTCCAGATATAAGGAGCATAAAAGCTGAATGCTGCTTCTCCGTGTCTGGTTCTGACTCTGGGAACTGATAAAAGACCGGATCCAGATGACCTGAGCGATCTGGAAGGTTCATACTGGGTCAGGAGGTCACTGATGTATTTTGGTCCTAAACCATTCAGAGCTTTATAGACCAGCATCAGAACTTTAAAGTCTATCCTCTGACGGACAGGCAGCCAGTGTAAAGACCTCAGAGCTGGACTGATGTGGTCCACTTGTTTGGTCTTAGTGAGGACTCGAGCAGCAGAGCTCTGAATGAACTGTAGTTGTCTGACTGACTTTTTTAGGTAGACCTGTAAAGATGCTGTTACAGTAATCAAGCCTACTAAAGATGAATGCATGGACTAGTTTTTCCAGGTCCTGTTGAGACAGCAGATCTTTTATCCTTGAAATATTCTTGAGGTGATAGTAAGCTGA